TGAAAATGGCCAACATAGTCACACATATGATTGTAGGTGTTGCTTGTTTTCTTTTGCTGACTGATATTTAACAAATATGTAGATTTGCTTCATCTTATATAAGGGATTTTTTTCTACCTTTATATTTTTTTTCCTTTTAATCTAGGTAAACAAAGCAAAATAAACTCTGTAGTTTGATTCTTGATGAGACATTGCCAAGCTTTGATAGGGGAGAAAAAGCTTCTTTCATCAGATGTTGCTTTGAACAGCCTACTAACTTTGACTGGGTTTTGTAAAGACTTTAAACCTAATTATTTTCAGGCAGAAATCTTTACTGATTCCCAAGGAATGAGAAGTTGTCATAAGTGATTATCAAAATGTATTGTGTGAAAAGGTTTACATTGCTAAAAGGCTTGAAATATGTAACAATACAAATACAATGAATTAGTACATTTGATTTATTATTGTTCACTCACATATCTTTATTTTAAAGTGTGATTATAGTTGCTCCTTAATCCTAAAGGTAAAGGCACACGCACTTTCCTTGTCCCTTTGGTATGTACATTGAGTCCACAGAATAAAGACAGCGGTTAAAAGGACTGAAAGGACATTAGTTTGACAGGACAAAAGTAAAGAATGAATACTGTTACGATGCTCTAAGACTCCAACCTTGCGGCTTTTCATTGTAGTCTTTGTATTTTTGAGCCACCTATGGTCGATCCAATCAAAAATACATTTGAAAGGATATTTTTTCAGAGCTCTGAGGAAAAAGGCCAAATTGTTAAAAAATGGCTTTTATCAGTAAGTTTCGAGGACGCTAGGATTTTTTTTCTCTGAACTGTCACCAGAACAACATTTACCAGCACTGCTTTACTTCTTTAAACATCTATAAAAGAACCACTGAAACTGTTTAGGAATGAATAGGTCTGATGCTGTAACTTAAAAGATCTTCAATTGATTTTGAAGGCTTTTAAGAGTTTTGACCAGAAAATTAAATTCTTTAATCTCAGAAGTTTAAAATTTGTTTAAATCGGAGTAGCAATCGACATTTTGTGCATCAAGTAAATTAACTGAATAGTTGACTTACTGAATAGTTGACTTGCCGTCTGTAGAAATAAAGACAACAATGCATAGTAAGAAGATCTAAGATCAAGTTCAGTTTGAGTTCCATTAAACTTGTTGAGTTTTAGTCGTATGTACATAGATTTGTTGTACTTGATCTGACATCACTGTATTTGTTTCGTTGATGTGATTAAAAAGAAATAGGCATAGAAAATAAAAGCTTTAAACTTAGAAGTATCTTTGAAGATACTCTTTTAAATTCAAATTTAAAAATGCCCATGAATTCGTTTCTCATTGGCAATTCTTCAATAGCCATCGGAAACCCATGTTTAAGGATTTCTTATAGCTTTATTAAGTTCACGTCAGTATATAGGAGTTGTAGATCACCATAGCAAAAAAAGACAAAGTGGTCATAAGAATAAGAAAATATATTGGAATAAAAAGCGACTATATCAGCTATCAGTTTGAAAATCACAGAATCAGATTCAGAATGCTTACTTTTACAAGTGTCTGAGAGAAGCACCATGGAAAATGGACAAAAGGGGAGAAGCGGACAATGTTTGGCCTCCAATGTAATTCATAACATGTGAATGAAAAGAACCCAGTTAGTTATGTTGTCAACCAACCACTTACATTACACAAATGATTTACGGGTCAGTTCCCCCAGGTCTACCAATTAGAAATTTCCAGTTGGGGCCTTGAAAGTGCAACATTTAAACCCAACACTACTGTATTCATAAAGCTAACAGATTTAGTTTAGAGTTAGTTAGATGAAAGTAATTTAGCCCAAGCAAACTCCCAATTTGAATCTCATAGCTAATTGTCGGAGAAGAGAAAATATAGTGTCAAGAAGGCCTTCTGATCTTTATGACTTTAAATTTATAAGCAACAATAAATCACTAAATACCAGTGAAGCATTTAAAATGCTGGTCAGCAAATATATGAAAGGTCTGATTGCTCTAGCAGTAATAGCGTTGTCTTCCTCTGATTTCCTTTCTTTACAATGGTATGAGCAATGTAAGATATTCAATTTGATATAAAGTCCAAATAGATCATTTATATTGATTTAATATATATATATATATATATATTTTTTTTTTTTTACATTGTTTTTGAGACATACTGGTCTTGTCTTATCTTGTCTTTTACTGGACGTGCACTTGTGAAGTCCAAGATGAGATAGAGCAGACTGTACTTAAAACCAAAAAGTAAAACTATTCTTAAACATATATTTTTGCCAAAAGAGTTTCTCAAGCAACTTACTGAGAAAATGTAACTAGTTTCTACCCACCTCTGGTAGTGTAATAGTTATATCATGCTTTAATGCTTTAAGTATGATATTAACTTTAAACATACAGCAGCTGGTAATTTTAGGTGCAAGCCATCTGAGAACCAATCAACGATGTGACCAAGGGTCTAAACATAGATTAATGGGATTTAAAAATAAAAGCATCTCGTTAAGTAGTCTATTCGACAAATGTAAATAGAATGGGAAAGATGAGGTTAGCTTAAAACTACATCATTCTTGGTAACCTTTATGAGCAAAAAGGATAGATTTGATTCTTTATTTCGAAGGAAGAAGCAGATTAGAGGGAAAGCCATATACAGTATAATCTATGCAGGGTTCCTCTGTTACTGCAAAGTTGCTTAACAAAGATAGAACAAGTCTGCTCTAATTTTTAGAAATATGTAAAGATGGACATCAAAATAAACCTTAATAAACGAAAACCCTAACTGTGTCTTGGCATTTGTTTATCTCGTAATGCAATACACCACTAAAAATATCATAATTTATGATACAGAGCAATGACTATTTCTCAACAAATGATTTTCTGTCACATTTTTTTTTTTCAAATGGTGTGTTAGAAGTTGCAAGTCAGCTATTAAGTGAAACATATTGGTTTTCTGTTGTTAAGAAGTTTAATGATTAGGGACCTCTGCACCCTAGATGCAAGTAAGTTAAGAATGAACCACATTATGCCTCATAATATTCCATTCCCCTTACCCCAAGATCTGTTGGATTCCTACCCTACCTTTTTTTTTTAAATGTTAATGAGAGATTCTTTAGTTCTCAATGTAAATCTCAAAATTGTCTGAATGCTGCCAAAGTGGTTGAATGGTGGCTAGTACAGTTTAATTTCCATAGCATTTAAAAAAGTACATGTTGATAAATGACCTCTGTTACAGGTACACCATAGTGTCAGTTCCTTTATAAAAGTGACTCATACATCCAGGTTTTCGATGCCTCAGTTTCACCTGGTACCAGATCTGCTCAGATATCTATCACGTTAAATTTCATCAGTCATTAGACATACACTACAGATGTTCCCGACTCGGCACACTGATGCTGCATTATCTTTTTGTAGTTGCCTGGCAACCACAATGTTTTACATCATAAAGGCAATGTTTAGCCAATCATATAGTATAACATTACCGAAATGCTAAGGGCCCGAGTAGATCAGACCACTAGAGCTGATCTTATATTATATATTTATATATAAGTTGAAAGTAAAAGACATTGAAGCAGCCTCAATCATCTGTAATTGTTTTACTTGATATGTTTTTTTTTGTTTTTTTTTTTTTATGTACCTGTCATTTATTTTAATGTATCTATGTTTCTTATGTAACTTTGCTGCCTCTTGGCCAGGACTCCCTTGAAAAAGTGTTTTTTAATCTCTATGATATTTTTTTCCTGGTTAATTAAAGTTTAAATAAAAAAAAATAATAATAAAAAATAAATCTAACATTATAATATTACATTGCCAAGCCGGTGTCAGCTCCACCAAAGTTTTCTCAACCTCCTAAAACTTGATTTAGACTTTTCATAACAAGAATGTTCTCATGTCTTTGGAAAGCCAGCTGGACCAGTTTGTAATAGTTTTTTGTCAACTGATTATAAGCAATAAAAGACATATTTATAATTTTCTTCATTTTTAATTGAGAGGACAACAACAATTTCACAAACTAAAACAAGGAAAAAGAAAAATCAGGTGAATAAGATAAAAACAACAAATCCTAAAATAGAAGATTAGCCATGCAATTGGATTATTTGATTTGCCTGTTGTGGAGAGCCCATGCATTATAGTGCCTTTGGGCTAGTTATAAAACCTGATGTCAGCAGCTAATGTACAGTATAAAACCCAGAGCGTGGAGAGATAACAAATTCAAATTGAATAAAGTAGAGCAAGCCAGGCCCCAAAAAGCTTTGCAATAAAATGGCCTGAAAACAGCAGCAAGGAAAGGCGACAGGATAAAGGTACAGTAACATGCGATTATGTGTGTGTCACATACTGTATGTTTCTGGGTAAGAAGAGCTAGGAACAAGGAGTGCTGACATTAACAGTCGTTTATTTAACAGTGGCTAAATGAAAACTCAGGCCGAATAAAATCTATTTATAAACGTACCGCTCTCTTGATGTATGCGCTAACCTTTATTTAATGTTTTAAACTAATATAAAAATGTAATCTGATCATCATTTGGTGTCAAGACAAGGCCCTTTAATTGTGTTTCTATCTTTTTGAGTCTTGTTTAACCTTTTCATAACATGAGGACCCAAATTTGGGTCCTGAGCACTCACCCCAAGATGGTTTTTAGACCTGTAACATATTCTCTGGGGTCTTGCTTTATTTTGATACCAAAACAATTAAAATAAACTCTGTAGTTCTTGAGATATATTCAATTAATTTTAGGCATGTTATTTTCAAGAATATTTCTCGAAAACAGGCCTAGTGTCCAAGAGGTTAATATATTCTGCATTTAACGTTCTTGATCAGTTTGGAATCTATTCCTGCTTATTAAGATAAATTTGAAATTAAAGCATCAGATCATCATACATTATGAGACATTTTATTAATGTACACATAATCCTTCAAGATTCTGCTTTTCCAAAATGTGAGTGTGATAATTTCTATTAGTTAGCAAATCTTTCTAAACCATTATCTCTCCTTCTTTTTCCTAGGTGGAGAAGTCCCATACACCACCCTTGCAACCAGGATGATGATGGGTGTTTGGTGGATGTTTGCCCTCATTGTCATCTCTTCATACACTGCTAATCTAGCAGCTTTCCTCACTATCTCACGGATAGAGAACTCCATACAGTGAGTACCTATCAAATTATTTCCTTGGCGAGGGAGAAAATTTACTTAAAAGAACTAAAAATAAAGTCATCAAACACCTTTATTTTACAGACATTTATCCCCTTTTGGTATTTCTGTTACTATAAAATAATTGTCTGCTCTATGACTGTTCCTTATTATACATTTCTCTATAAAAATACATTATACATCCTTTCATTTTAGTTGTTTAGAAAACGCAAATAGTGTAGTTTAAACAATTTTGTGTTTTTGAATAAAAAAAAAAATGCTTTGATATTGTGGACCTATTTCAGTAATTCAACTAAAATAATTTAACCTTATTCTTTTAAATGTGGCTTGCACTTAGCAGTATCTCATATGAGCATTGAAGATTAAGCTACAAAATAATATCTCAGAAGCTGTCTGTTCACGGGCTGCTATAATTGGACTAAACCTATACTGATGGCTCAAGCGCTTTCACACAGAAAGTCTCATTCACTGTGACCCACTGATATGCAGATTGGTTGGCAACTAGGGGTTCAGTGATATAGCCAAGGACAATTTAAAATGTTATGTGTGTGTGACAGTAGAAGAGCTTGAATCAAAATACTAACATTTTAATTGGTGGGCAACTGCAACTATAACAAAGCCAAAGTTGTCCCAAAAGATGCATTCAGACACATTACTGGAAGGTTTAATGAAAGGAAAAGGTGTTGCAGAAAACATACAAACATAGGATGACTTCAGCTATGGGCGCATTGAAAAGCGACTTCACATGTGCAAGACCCCACCCCAGTTTGATGTTGGGGGGCAGAAACACTAGCAGTTTTTTAGCATTAAAGTTATCGAGCTAAAGCGCTAAATCTACACGATTCACTTTTTTACCCATTTGGACTGAAGGTTTCTATTACAGACTAACATTTCTATAAATGATTGAAATACTGATACTATACGGCTTGCATCTAATATTATTGCATAGATTTATATAAATATAAAATTATGTTACCCTGCTTTGCATGTGCAGTGGGCAGACACCACATAGCCTTTTATTTTATCCAGGCAGACCCACACCTGGTGACGCCCTTTGTTGTTGGTGATCTTCTGCTATGGCATCTCGGCACACAGGAAGCACACTGCATTCATGCGATCATTGCTGTGATACAATATTTGCCCCACTTGTCCAGACACAAAGAAATCATATCCTTCGAATGACTTGTATGCCTTCATTGCCTCTGCTGTATAAAGTCCTGGTGTATTAATGAGATAACTGTAAATATCCCCATACTGAACGGGCGGCCAAATTTGAGCACTGTCAATCCACAGACTGCCAACTACTTGAAACGGGTGAATATATTTAAAGGTATAGTGGAGGATGTTATTTTTCCTGCTGAGTCATCAAAACAAGTGGTCCTCCTAATTCTCAACCTTTCTGGTAATATGTTTACGTAAGGCCGTCCTTTGTGCTCATCCCCATTTTCACTTACCAGTGGTGAGCCGGATATAGTGGGAAAATTGCAAATCTTTTGGAAAGTAAGGTTGTATGAGTGATGCAAGCAGCAACTTTTAAACAGAGCGTTCACAATGAGAAATGGGCTTGTGCATGCTCTCATAAAATTGACGTTCCCTCTCGGTGGCAGATACAGGGTGGTGGATGTGCACTTTTTTTCAAAAGTGGAAAGGGCAGGTCTTTTCGAAAATTTGCAAAAATCCTCTACTATACCTTTAACTTTGCGGAAGTGCATAACTTCCGGAAGTAAACAATAACTAAATAACTTTCAAGTAAAGCACTATGAGCGAGTGGAATTGTACTTGAACCGTAAGCAGAGACAGTCTCATAAGATTTATTTTATTTTTTTTATGCGATTTAAGTTATCTTTTCTAATGAAAGCAAAGTTAGAATCTTTGTAAATCAAAGTCCCACATTTTGGAGTTTAGATTAATATTTAGATCGGATTTTAGAGTAAAGAGGCACAGAATCAATGCTGCTTTAAGTCTAGAGTTGAAGTTTCTACAGCCGTCAATATTTTGGGGAGTTCTCTCCTGTCGAAAGTCAGCTTATTTTTGCAAATTCAAAGCAAAACCGTTTACTACAAGATCTTAATGCTTGCCTCGCTTGACAAGCTTTATAAAAATACTCTTTATTTTACAACAGGACTTGGCATGTGTCAACACTGTGAAAATTAGTTAGCTTTAATTATCACGATATTGCAGTGCTTGTTTGGCCAGCAATTTGCCTTGCACTAAACACAATAGCGAATCTTCAAAGTACTGACAAGAGGAAGATAAAAGGCACCAAATCCAACAGCGTGGAGACGCTGGCTGCTGCTATTAAAGAAACCATGGCATGCTTAACACCTGAGGAAAGCCACAACCTGATCACCCTCATGCTACACTTCAATGACACAAAATCTCATGTAAAAAGTATTGTGTCTGTATACACTAAACAATATATTTGCATACATTTCACCTGGCAGACGTATTGAAAAAAGGGTCTTATGAAATACTAAATTTCTGAGAAATGTCATTTTTGGTTTTCAATTTGTAAGTCAAACTCATAACACACGAGGTTTACTGAACTGTACACTATATAATTTATATATTATGTGTGTAATAAATCTAAATAATATTTTTAATTGGATTTTTACAACTTTTACTGTTACTTTAATTCCACGAGCTGTATCTGTTTATTATTTTTTTGTTGCAAAGAGCGAAACTTCATTCCAGCAGGTAGATAAAACGGCACACATTTATGCTACTACTCACTCATAAAAAATAAATTTTATCCTTGTCTCTTCACCACAGTGTGGAATAGCATCTTTCTTATTTTTGTTAAATCAAAGACAGTATTCTACAGATAAAGACACATAATTAAAGAGAGAATACTGAGTTAGAAAATCGAAGGTGTTGATAAAGTTGTCAAATCTTTGTTCTTTTACTATTCTTTGACTCACATACATAATTTCTCAGAAGGTTTATGCCCTCCATTTGTTTATCCCTGTGATAATATGTCTTCCTGCTACTCTGCTGGTGGCACCAGGAAGTGCTCATCTCTCATTGGACTAATAAGCATGTCTAAGCATCCGCTATGCCCGACAGTGCTACGGTTAATTGTGCTTGGCTTTGGAATGAACATTTCTCTACGTTCAGTCTTTTACAACAAGAATTCATCTTTCTTTTGTGGCATTTTGCATTCTTCATTTACCTTGTCAACAAATGCTTATAGGAACACTTCAGTAACACATTACATGGGCAAAATAAGCCCAAATACATCTAGTATAAGGATGCAAGTAAATTAGTCAGTCAGGGGGAAAAAATGAAGGAGAAAATATAGAGTCACCAAAGGAAGAGGAATCAAGGAAAATATGGACACATGACTCTCCTTAGTGTTTTCCATCAAGACAGGCAGGCTTTTTAAGTATTAATGCCCTTGTTTCATCCTGAAAATGAAATAACAAGTCAGCGTCAAGAACCCTCTCTGGACTATTTCACGCTTGGATGTTTTCCCTCAATTTCACTGTGAATCCTTTAGGAAAACCGTGAAAGGTGGCAGAGGAGAGTAGAGAAGTGAAGGCACACATGAGCAATGCACAAAAAGTGAGACAAAAAGGCATCTTAATGAGGAAATAAAGTGAACAAGGGGGAACAGATAAGGTGAGAGTGGGGAAAAAAAGAAAATGATGTGGAGACAGAGAGGGAGACAAAGGATGTAGTGAAAGCAAACAGAAGAGAAGTTACAGACTGGAAATATTTGGCTTGGGATGACCTGACAGAGCGAGAAATTTGTTTGTGGGCTGCAGAAATATGGGGAACAGATAGTTTCTGTTAGAATTCAGATAGGATAGGTTAGCATGTATATAAATTCTATTTTTATCCTGTTATTCATACATTTTTAGCTACCTTAAAATAATTAAGAGAGTGTGATTAATTATATTACTGCTGTAAGACTAAATGTTCAAGGGACACCGGTTGTGTTGTTTAATAAAGACTTCAAACTAAATTAGTTATAAAAAAAAAAAATGATTATTTTAGTTTGATTGTAACTCATTGTGAAAATGTGAGATATGTATTTTAGTTAAAACTGTTGTTCTCTAGTAATTGTTGAAAAATGAATGCACAAAAAAAGTTTTTGAATTTCTTTCATAATAATTACATCTAGCATTCCTAACAAGGACAATCTCAGCTTTTACACTACAGGTTACATTTTTTAGATAACCTTTCCTGTACTTGAGAAGTTTGTTTAAGTAATAATATATCTGATTTGATCTAATTATAACCCCCATAGGTATGAAGTTTATTTCAAAAAGCTGCTTAAACATGCAGGGTAAGATGAGTTGGGAGTGTCACACACCCAGCTCAAAGCAGACTTAAAACAACCTCAGCATTGGCTTTCAGCCCATCTTCAAATTTAAATCCTAATGCAATTACATTAGCTTCAAATTGGCCCTGCTGCACTCAATCAGTAATTTTTACTCAAGGCCATAGAGTTTTCAGTTATTTTAAAAACTATTTTCTAAAACTTTGATGTACTTGCATAAAATGGCTAGAAAATGTCATATGTTCTTCCAGTGCAGTCATTTCATAGAGTTCTGTTAAAGAGGGCTCCAATGTTGGCAGATGATAGGATGTAAGAGTAAAAACTTTAATGAGAAATCTCTAACACTCCTAATGTTCAAAAAAGACAATAATAAAAAAGGTTGTGGACATAAAAAGTAAGGAGCACCACAGGCCACAAAGTCTTATGCATGTCAGACTATGCTGTCGTCTTAGAGAAGACAGCTTGGAGAGGAGCAGAAAATGAAGATGCTGAACAGGACTATGTACAGTTTATATATCCTGCAGCCAAGACTTTAGTGCACCAGTTATCCCTGTTTTTTCATTGTACTGTGAAAAAACATTTTGGAGGATTACATCAAGAATTCAAGGAACATCAAGGAACATCAAGGATTATTCTATTAGACATTAGTCTCAACAAAGGAACAGAAACCCATTTCCATGCATCAAAGGTTGTTAACTTAAATTTGCTT